GCTCTGGACAATACACGTGATAGTGTCTTGGCGCGGTGTTTCACCTAAGTTCCGGTAAGTGTAGCCGAATCAGGTATAAGCGCGGGCTTGGCGCAAGCAACCTGCAGCATCAACTATCCTTCACCCTTTCACACCACCTTCATCCATCAACAACACTGTTTCGCAACACCGCCGTCGCATTGTCAATAATCTTTAATAATTCACAGTAGCCCTGTCGCTTCACGCTGCTATGTGTTCTCTCGCTATAGACTACATAGCGGGCGCACAACCCGCCTCTCGCATCCAGCACACTCACAATCAAGACAGTTCGACTGGTTCGGTGGCAAACTCAATATTTGAATTTGCTTCCAGCCGCAGAAGTTCTTTCGACTCCGTCACCTCTACCCTCTGTTTCGACAGTCAGCCATCACCCACATCGCGAAACCTGAAGGGAGCAGCATCACTCAAAATGACAACGTACTATCATTATGACTCTGATGGTACCGTCACTGCATCGAAGCTGCATCCCAAGGCTGCGATCTTTACGCCTGGTCACCCAGATGCGGAAGCGTATGAGCGGAATGGAGACGTCGTTGGAGCCTATCTTGCACGTCGTGACAAAGGCTACCCCGCACATGGCACCTCAGAAGCACAGCAGAGTTACAGTCCTACTCTTTGCCCGCTAGTAAAACCTTTCAACGGCAGTATAGATGGGCAAATGGCCAACCAAAGCTACCAGCCCGGCGATGGAGATGAACTGTCAGGGTACAATACCTCTCCAGTCGAGGCGTTCAGTACACTTGGGTGGGTAGGTTGGGCGGCGTATTCAGGTATGGAGCGCCCGTATCCGAATCCCGAGGACATACGCCACCTACACACCCTGCAAAGTCTGCTGCCTTATCTCCAGCCTGAGCGGAAGATGAACGCGCTCAACGGACCAGTATTGGACATCGTAGAACAGGACACAGGAGTCACGCTCGCTTATCAGGTGCCAAAGAAGATGCTTGTGCTGTTCCTGGGTCGTAAGGTGGTCAACAAGTTCATCCGCACAACACACCGCGAGGACGACGTGAATTGGAAGGGCGCACCCGTATGTCAAGAGATGGATTTACCTCGGGGAGTAGCAAGCAAGGCTGCTATGAAAGCCCTCATAGCTTGGATGCTGCGAGCTTGCAACTACCAGACGATGAGCTCGATGAAGCAGATCCGCGTCCCAAAGAACACGTTTGTCGCATGCTCGTTGGCTCGCACGATGGAGCTCTTTGATCTACACAAAGATGCATTAAGGGTAGATCATTACATCGCCGAGTGCCATCTCGCTCGACCAATCTTTGCTGTAGAGTTGGAGACGCTCTGGAACTGCCTCGGCAAGAACAGTCGGTACACATACGCAGCGATCAAGGCTGTTGGCCAACGGCTCCGCGAGTTTGAGGCCGACAGCGACGGTCTAGAGGTACCAGGAATCGATGAAGATATGATGGCTATGCTGAAGGAGTATCCGAATCTTGAAGCACGCGTGCGCGATCCAGAGGTGAATGAAGAACACCGCCCAGTCTTTAACACCAACTGGATGAAACGGATCGGCGATAAGAACGACCATAGCCGGGAGGGATGTGGAAAGCAGTCAAAGAAGAAGTCCTTTAAGCCAGCTGCAAAGCGCTTACAGGAACGCCAGCCAATAGCAGAACCGGCTGTGGGGCCAAAGCTACCGGCTAGTCCAGAAAGCATGGTACGCAAGTTCGCGGTGTTGCGAATCGTGGCGGAAGATACGAAAGCATCGAGCAGCGACGCGCAAAGCAGCGCCGAGCCGGATGAAAATGTGAAGAAGCCCTAACGGCAGACACAAGGGCTGTCGCAGGACGATAGCAGTCACATGCAGGACAATGCGGTCTTAAAGAGCCGCTGAGCCCCTACGATGCCGAAGCCAAGAGTGAAGGGGTTATTAGCTCGCGTATTGAGTATTGGAGCATGATTGGAGGCGTATTGGTCTGCTCGGGGGTCGATTTTCCTTTGTACACCTTGCATAGCGTGGAGTTTGAAAGCCGGAGATGACTTATGGTGTGTCGCATTTGATGACTATCGCCGACGAACTGCGCAACGCTTGGGCACAGCGATGAGGATATACTACATTTATGGCACTGTATCGAACTGGAATATAAACGGCGTGTACGCCAAATGAATTTAAATAGAAGTATTTACACAAGAATCGTCTCTATCAGACCCTGACATCGTCTCTCATCCGCAGTATTATTGGTTAATTGTCCTCCGCATCTTCCACACACTCAATGCTTAAAAGTAGCGTCCAAGTGCGCGACGGAACTTGGAAGAGCTGTTGATGCACTGGGAGTACCAGTCATTGCTCTTCACACATGTAGCAGGAGCCTCGCACTCAGTAGGGCCAGTGAAACCCTGACCACCGCACTGAGCGTAGAGCTTGGCAGCGCCAGCAGAGGATCCAGATCCAGTGGGAGCAGCAGGTGCTGGCGCAGCAGCAGCGGTAGTGGTAGCCGCCGGCTTGGGCTTGGTAACGCTGCTAGTGGGAACGGTAGGCTCGGCGACCTTGGCTGGGGCATCAGCATCCACGACCTTTTCCGCGGCGGGGGCAGATGAAGACGAAGCACCGAGATTTGCGGGACCAGCATTAGCTTTGACGTAAGCGGCGACCTTGCTGGCTTCCATCGGCTCGGGCACGTCGATCTTTCCGAGCTTTGCAATGAAGCTAGAGGATGAGCCTGGGGAGAGCTCGCCGCTGGAAGAGTCGACGCTGTTCTCGAGACACGCGCGGCCGAAGACGGATGAGCAGGCATCGCCACCCTTGCTAACGAAGGTGGTGACACCGGCGGCGTGCTCGGTGTTGGGCTGGTCAACAGCAACAAAAGCGTTACCCTCAACAAGCGCACTGACGCCGTCATAAGCATCGAATGCATGGCCCTTCATGTTCTCGAAGTAGTTGTTGACGGCGTGGAAGTAGCTGTTGACACCGTCCTGACCAAGCTTGGGAGCGCGACCGGAAACGTCGTGGAAGTAGTTCTTATCAAGTGTAAACTTCTCAGTCTTTCCAATCATCATCATCGTCCAGTAGTGGTTGTCGTTGCAGGTAGCAGAAGTGGTAGTGACACCATCGAATTCGTTGTTGGAAAGGGTAGCCTCAGAGCCGTCGTAGTGGCTGACGACGAACATGCGGCCGACGAGGGAGAACTTGCAGTGGTCTACCCAGATCTTGGTGTTTCCTCCCTGCATGTCGAGAGCATCGCCACCCCATACGACGCCGGGGTTGATGGTGGTGAATTCGACTCCTTGGATGATGACATTGCTGGCATCTTTGGCGATGGAGAGACCTCTGCCCTTGATCACACCCTTTCCGCCAACTCCAAGAATGGACTTGTTCGATCCGACCTTCAAGGCTGTTTCGGCGCCTGCGTCGTAGGTGATGGAGCTGACGGGCGTCATATCCGAGCCACCGCAGGAGAGGTCGCCCAAGTAGTACTGTCCGCCGCCGCTCTTAGCTGAGCAAGTGGTCTTGTCGCAACCAGGACCAGAAGTGGTCTTGCCAGTGAAGTCAAACTGCTGAGTGAGAAGAATGACGCGCTCGGTGTCGTCGGACAGGTACTTCTCCAGCTCCTCGTTTGACGTTGGGGTGACAGCAGTAGCCTTTCCTCCACCGGTCGCGCCAGCACCGTAGCCATAAGCTGTACCGACGACCGATTGAGCGGACGAGGTGGCAGCTGCTGCCAGAAGTGCGATAATCTCGAAACGCATGTTGTAGTCTTGTTAAGGGGGTTTGAAAGAGGCAAATGTAGTATGGGCGAGAAGGTAAAGAACGTCACTCAGACCAGCCGAAGATTCCGCTCAAGATATTCAACGAGAGAAAATGAGAGGATATCCGAAAGGTAATCGAGAGAATGAGTGTAGCGGATGACAACAGTTCACATTATGCAGCAGCTCAAATCCTAATATACCTACCGCTCTGTAACCGCATACACCTGCTTCGTATCCATATTGGTTGCGATCCTTCCCGTAACGGCCATGTTGCCAAATGCGTAATGGCATGAATCAATGTCAAGGGCGTCACGATGCTAGTGCCCGTCTGGCAGCGGCTTTGTTTCAATCGTCCTGCCACGCGTGCGCGCCAAGCCGGACATTGTTTCCATCCCGCGCGCTTCTCAGTGCCAGATCAAGCGTTCGCAGGACGTTGTGGTATGGCGCAAGGATGCGTTGGGTCGCGAACGATGAGTCGTTGGTGGAAACAGCGGAGATGTGGGAAGGATGAAACATCAGATAGGGCCAGGCGGTCTCGGGTAGCTAGCGCACCACGTGACTTCTGCGGGCCAGCTCCAGGGCTGTTCATTACCACGCAACCGGTAAACACGCATGAGTATGATGTGTAAGGCAAGCTTTGCGATTATCTTCAGATTGGCTCACCGAGGGTCGCGCAATGTAGCAAACAAGTACTACGACGGCGTGGACGAAGTTGACCCGCTCAGTTTGCCTGGGTGTGGCGCGCGCCACAACATCCCCTCCTGCAATTTACACGTCTCCACACCTCCACGCATTTGAGGTGACTGAAGGATGAGCTCTCTTCCTGTATAGTAATCATATTCGCCCCTTACCTTTGCTTGAGAATCACCGAGGTATGCTGCATGTTTTCGTCGGCATTGCGCTGAGTGACACACAATTGTCCCTCAGACGCGCTACGTTGGAGGAAACATTCACAAACCGCGACATCACAGCAGCGCATGGCTATATCATGGCAAAGATTCAACGACGGCGGGACTTGCATCGATACAGATTCACTGCAAGGGCCACGCTATCGATAGCGATTGTCACGCACGACGATGTCGATGGAATGGCTACGCAAGCGCGTTGTCTGAGTTGGCTGTGTCGTAGCCTTGCCAAAACATCGCTGGAGCAGAACTGCCAGCAACACCGCGCCTCATCTATTTGAGAGCTTACATCTTCAGCCAAAGATTTCGCGCATTCCATCTTGCTCAGCAATACGGTAGCTTTACTCACTTCTCAACATGTCACAAGATCAATCACCTCCCGGTCGGCACGATTCGCTTTCTGCTACGGCTCGCGCCCGCCACAGGCAGCGCATTCGCCTCTCCATGTTCCCAAGCTTTTCCGAATTAGACACTTCCGTACCTCACCCAAGCGCTGTAGCGCCCGATGTAGCGCAAGCACCAATAGATCGGCATAGCCTGCGCTCGAGGAGATACTACGGCACTCAAGAGTTGCGGCCAAATGTGCCAGTAAATCCTCAGCCCACTGCTGAAGACATAGCACGCCGATCACGGAAATCTGGAGTTCGGTTTGGTACACACGACACACCCATACGTGATGCATCAGGAAGACGCCAATCTAAGATCTGGGACATGGAAGACATCACTTCCGGCCTCAATACTGCGTTGACGTCAAGGAGCAACGGCGTTGGCCAGGTTCGTAGGCCACAGAAGCTCCTTCAAGGTATCGATAAATTTGGCCAGGTATTTACTTACTCACAATGTGATGATCAAGCTATGAACGCCAACGAGACGCAAAACGGGACCACGGACGAGTCGAAATTGCCGGACGCGTCACCCACAAAGCCGAGGACATGGCATGATGAAGAACAAGGTTTAGGTGAGAGCTTTGAGATGGTACAGTATGAGGACGAATTGACTGAAGACTTTGAAGAGGTCGACCGAGACATCCCGACGGACTTCAATGGCAAGGTGCCACGTTGACACTAGCAACATGAAGAGAAGCTGTTCTGACTAATTGGGGGTTGATGGAAAGATCTTGTTGTAGATGCGATTGACCGGTATGACAGGATGATTGCTGAAGTGATCACTCGAAGAATAGCTAGGTGCTACTACTCATGGCCTTCTGCAGCGCTGACTTCCAATCTTATGACGTGACATCCTTTAGCTTCAAGACCTGCGCACATTCCCGAACACTATCTTTCATCAGTGACCAAATCACCAGAGCAACAGGCGGCCAACACAGCGCACAACAACCCCATTCATTCACTCACACAATACTCACATACGGCGTGCACATCCATCTACCTCGCCGCCGGGGAACCTCGTTCCTCTTTCGTACTCCACGCTCTACTCACCACCTCCTGCAAGCAAGTCAAAAGACCAATTAACCCTTACATTGTGAAACTACTGCACTTGGCTCCCCTCAACCCACACACCCTAGATATCCTTTCAACCTCCAAAAATGACACAGCCAGACCCAAACTGGAACCCGCCTCGCGGACCCAGAAACCGCTACCCACACCGACGCGGCCACGTCCAAGCATCAAGTGATCCAAACCCCGCCCCGCAGATCTTGCAACCTCAAAGTCAGCATACTGGGTCGACTCGGAATCCGCAGCAGCGGAATAGCGATCCTTTCCAATATGATACGCAGACAATGCCATACTGGGACGATGCAAGCGGCGCAATCCACGATATCTCCAATGCAACACCGCGGAATCTAGATGCAACATACGCGAAGGGCTTTGATGTTGAGACTGGAGCTACGCAGGGCCAGCAACAGCAACAGCAGGATCAAGTTGCGGGTCTCCAAACTTATGGTCAACACCAATGGCATAATCCGTATGCTGAGATTGTGGGCGGTGGACCGTATGCACAAAATCAAGCAACCCATCCAACATCTCCGCCGCCGAAGAACACATCTAGGACCACCGCTACCACCAAAGACAACAAAGCCAATAGACGGGATTTCACACCCTACTTCGACGCCGCAGACCCACGGAACCACACCGATCTGAAAAGCCCAGATAAATACAATTTCCTCGGCACAAAAGACGTAAACCAGAAGATGCGCCAGGACACAACCGATGCGATCAAACTAGCAACTGAGAAGCGTGGAAAGAGCAAGGCAGACCAGGCATTACCTTCGCTACCAGAACGTGAGCCAAAGACAACAATAGTAAAGAGGAAGAGCGCGCCTCTTCCCCCTATTCTGCCTAGATTCGCTTTCGAGAACCCGGCAATATCGCCGAAGCTGGCGAAGTCTAGGACTGCTTCGTTTAGGAAGAGTGCAGAAACCCCAACCCAATACACCACCCCTCTTTCCGCGATCAACGAAGCGCCATCCCCGCTCAACGCATCAAGCAAGCGAAAAAGTGTCGATCGCACACCCACGCTCGACCGCGTCCTCGCCCTACGCGCAGAAGAACAAGCGAAAACGCTCGCGAAACTCGAAGGCGATGTGCTAGAAGAGCAGGCTGTCGATGACGGCGAGCAACATATCCCGCGCGAGTTGGTCAAGAGGATAAGCGACGAGAAAAGTCAGTGTATTCCTAGAGTCACGTCGCGGGAAGAGAAGAGGCATGCGTCTGAGTTTGTTCCGGGTATGGAGGTGCCGGGACTGGAGGAGCGGGAGGGGGGTTGTGGGATGGACGATCCGGCTGTGCAGATGAAGAAGGAGGAGGTGGAGGATGGTGGTGCGGGGAAAAGTGTGTATAGCAGTGAGAATAATGCTCAGGAAGATGAGATTGAGAAGCTTACGAAAGCGATAGCGGGGTTGAGACCATTCCAAGATTTGCCGCCTCATCTATCGGCGAAGACGAAAGCGTTCGAGCGGATGAGCGCTGTGCCGGTAGGGTTGGATGTGGGGAAGATTGGGAAGGGCAAAGGGGGAATCAAGGATGGAGCTGGATCTAATACAACGCCGGAGGAATTAGGTGGAAGGACGCAGGTTGAGGCAGAAGCGGAACTTTTAGCGGTACTCAACGCGACGGATGAAGGTACTGGTGGAGGTAGCGCGGGCGTGGGAACGTCGCAGGAGAACTCATCGGCGGAGTCTTTTGCGACGGTTTCTTCGGACGATTACGAACAGATTCGGGCGGAGGACGAGCTGGCGTCGGAGCAGAATGGCGTGAAGAGGCGGTGGTATAAGGGCTTTCGGAAGGTTTGAGTGTTGACGCGCGGGGTAGTGGCGGTATACGACATGAGTGAAGTTGGCGTTATTTGAGTTCAAATATGAACCTGGAGCCATACATTATTTTGTGTCTTGTTATCTTACTGGTGTGATATCCAGTCAGTACATCCAGAGCAGGCTTTCTGTCGCCGAGGTGTAGATAGACTGCATTTGCCGGTTATCTCCAGTCAGTGTCATTTATCCACTCTTGGGTATCCGCCGCTGCTATTCCGCCACCCCAATCCTTTGCGCTAGCATTGGATGACATGATGCTGTTACTATGCAGAGAACTCAGTTTTGAGGCTCTTCCTTGCACGTCAGCTCACCGTCGTAGTGGAGCAGTGTCTTGAATTCCTGACAGTGGTCTTTGTAGTCTGCGTATCGAAGTTAGTGAAACCCTTAGAGGAGCATAACGATAGGTACTTACAAACCCTCATACGTTCCACAGCATCTTCAATATCAGCGTTAGTCTTGATAGACTTATCAAGCGTAATGGCCGCAGCAATATACCAGTTTGGCTTGTGCCACGGGAGGCCTTGTGGTTGCTGCTCATCTTCAACAGGGCGGGGTAGCAATCCAGTATGGAGAGCCTGCCAAGCAGCGATGCACCTAACCTGAGCCGTCGCTGACATGCGCTTCTCGAAGTTGTCTTTATCGAAGTCGAATATGTCCAAGCCTTTGGGCTGAGGAATGTTGGTGGCGTCCAGTAGGTGCATTGCTAGCCTTGCTAAGTTGTTGCGATAGCTGATCATATCGTGAATGGCGTCAAGGTTCTCTTCTGTTGGCTCAACCGTTCCACTGATAAATCCCCTGATAGCCGGATGAAATGTGTGATTGCCAGATATACTGTCTCTACCCGGGAAGCCGTTCATATAGAGCTCGCACTCTCGCACAATGCTGCTTGCCCTGAGCTCGATAGTGCCTTGATGGTCTCGAAGAGAGGTAGATTTTTGCGCAGTGTCAGTGTCTTTGGCGTCATGTTCCAGGCCGGCATTTCCAGTAGATGACTCGACTGGTGACTGGGGGGTCACAACTGGATCCAGTGGTTCGGACATAGCGGGAAGGCGAGAATTCATGGTAGGCTAGATCTCAGTGCAGTTGATAAAAGAAGAAGTAAATCTAGTACGAGCCGATTTATATGCGTACGGGTTATTGCCGAAGCCCATACGTTGGTAGCGAAAGCAGGATGAGTGGAAGAAATCCGTGCTGAACCGTGGTTGAAAAGGTAGCAATACTATGTACCACGAAGATATCTGATGCGTTTTTGTTTGTGATACATACAGTACGAATGAAATTATATGCGGGTGGGCGTAGAATGACTACTGGATGCCGTCCAAGATGAACCGATTTATTCGCCGCAGCGACTTAGCTATGGCTGTCAGACCATGCGAGATGTCGACGACCCTTCTCAAATTTCCGGTTCTCGGTTTGCTAACAGTGGTGTACATCGCACAAGGACTGTGGCGTATTGTGAAGTTTGCGATGTCCGCGCCCTTCTCGTCTCGGGGCCCTCATGGCTTGCAAGGTCATCTCTGCGGATTGGGAGATGGTCTATCGACAGCCCGTAGGGGCGGGATAAAAGTCTGCTCTCGGACGCGACCCTGGCAACTAGACATCGTGTTCATGATTGGGGATGTCGCGCGTGCGTTACTCGCGTTCTGGGTGATGGGTTGAGGCGCGCCCGCGAAGGCCGAGGTCAACTCCGCTTGGCCTGTGCTCCTTTCCCCGCAAAGCAGCTCTCAGGCACAGCAACTCCACGACTGAGAGCAAGCGAGTCATCAAGATGCGCGTCCCGAAGCTTGCCCTTATACCGCAAGCTTATAGCTTGACCTTTGTACTTGTGAAATACCCAGATCGCTGACACCAGCCCTATTGTCTTCTACGCACCACACGAGACTCCCACGATGTCGCTGTCGCACACGATGAACTTCTCGATTCCCGAAGATCTGAAGCAATACCTCGCCGATCTAGACAAGTTCATCGACGAGAAGATCACCCCGCTCCAACACAAAGACGACAACAACCGCTTCTTCGACCACCGCCGCGAGCACGCTCGAACGGACTGGGACAACGGCGGCCTGCCGCGCAAGGAATGGGAGGAATTGTTGGCGGAATCAAGGAGGCTGGCCGATGAAGCCGGCTTCTATAGACTGTCGCTGCCAACGCAATACGGTGGACAAAACAGTGCCGATGGGCGAGGGAGCAATCTCTGGATGGCCGTCATCCGAGAGCATCTCGCCGCAAAGGGACTGGGCCTGTTCAACGACCTACAGACAGAGCATTCGATGGTCGGCAACTTCCCCGACGTCATCATGCTCATGAACTTTGGCAATGATCAGCAGAAGAAGGAGTTCATACCGCTGCGGCTGCAGGGCAAGTTCAGGATGACGTTCGGCTTGACGGAGCCCGGTCATGGCTCGGATGCGACACACATGGCGACAAAGGGGCGGCCGGAGACGAGAGATGGTGTGAAGGGATGGGTGTTGAATGGATACAAGCGGTGGCAGACTGGCATGCATCACGCTACACACTGCTCGGTCTTTGCGAGGACGTCTGGAAAGGACGGGGAGATCAAGGGCATCTCGTGCTTCGTCGTACCGGTAGAGACACCAGGCCTCAAGGCAGAGTCGTATGAGTGGTACGTCGTTGGCCGCATAGCGCTCCATACTGTCTGTTAACAACGCCCAGGACACTGAACATGCCCACCGACCACGCCACCGTCTCCATCAAAGACGTCTGGGTCCCCGAGACCGCCTTACTAGGCTCCATCCACAACGGCCTCGGCGTCGCCCAAGCCTTCGTCCACGAGAACCGCATCCGCCAAGCCGCATCCTCGCTCGGCGCCGCCGTATACTGCGTCCAGCAATCCGTCGAATACGCCAACGAGCGCGCGCCCTTCGGAACCCCCCTCTCGCACAACCAAGGCATCCAGTTCCCGCTCGTCGAACTCGCCACGCAATGCGAGATGCTGCGACAGCTGATCCGGAAGACGGCGCTGGAGATGGACTCTATGCCGCACAGCGAGATTGAGAAGAAGATTGGCGATAAGGTGTCCATGTGTAATTACTACGCGAATAGACTGTGTACGCAGGCGGCGGACCGCGCGATCCAGGTCCATGGCGGGAATGGGTATTCGAGACATTATCCGTTTGAGCATATCTGGAGACACCATCGCCGGTACAGGATTACCGAGGGGAGTGAGGAGATTCAGATGCGGAAGGTTGCTGCGTATTTGTTTGGGTTTGGGGGGAGGAAGAGTTTGGTGGATGCTACGAAGGCGGAGTCGAAGTTGTAGACCCTCTTGAGGGGGACTTCGAGGCAGCTTCAGTCATAGTAACGTACGAAGCCATTTGTTGAAACCGGGCATTGCGTCTTTCTCTGTGATTACGGGTAGTAAAACCACGATGAGGAGAAACCACACACAGAAGGCTGCGACCCAAAGCAAGGTCAATCGCAATGTGGACTCCTTTGGCGGTGCTGGCAGCGGTTTTGATTGCTGCTCTTGCGTAACTGAAGCGACTAATGGCAAGGAAGGCACTGATGGGAGTGGTTTCGTGTGCGTATGTAGGTTTAAGGGACTAGGTGCCGCGACGCGTTTGATGGATGTGCTGAGAGTCTTTGGTGGCACGGGCGGGCCTTCGTCCTGGGTACGTGGTTTTCGGTTTCGTACGTGTTGATCGCCAAATTGAATCCCGGACATTGTCTGCCTATAAGTGATGAGATGCCCGAGAGTAGAGTACGCGTATCAGGTGCTTGATGCTCACGGTATCCTCCAGTGCAGAGCTGGGGAGACGCGCGAACTATACCCGATAAAGTTAGTAGGTGACGTAGCGGCCCAGCTGGAGAAAGAGCTGCCGACATCATCTCAACTCTCACACTCCGATGATATGCTACGACAGCATGCATTCGTAGTGAAAGCGCGTTCCTCAGTTCTGTTTTGTCATTTTATAACACCTCATTGTATCTTCTTCAACAGACTGCATGAAGCAGCGATGTCAACGAAAAAAGGTGGGTGTTGGTTCCGCCGTTCGATCGTCAGTAAAGGCCCCAATAAGCCTCTACCTTAGGTCTCGAGACCTTCGTTGTGGTAACCGGGCTCACGTTCCCGCATCTTCGACATCCACTCTAAGAGCCGGTTTCCCGTAAGTACCTGTCACTCAGAAGCTGGACCGGAGTCCATTGCTGGAGACGAGCTCCGCCTGCTTCCTGCCGTGTGAGATGAGCAATCCCGAAGGATATCGTTGCTCACCACCTCCCGGCGAGACCACAAACGGGCAAAGGGTAGACGCGAAGTCGCGCTTCCCTTTGGCGGAGTGTGGAGAAGGTGCATGAATGTCGCCGTTCCGTCGATCGTAGGTAGCACTGCAAAAACCACAGATCGAATTTGAGCGTTGAGGTGCCGACACATAATGCTCGTCAGCGCAACGACACCTCGTGAGACCAGGGTCGTAAGCGTCCGTCAACGTCTCCACCCCAGTCCTTAACGCTTGTGAGCCGAGGTATCAGGAAGTATTGGACAAGCTGTGTGAAAAGAGTGGAAGAAGACTTGTTAGCGAGGACGGCTGGAGCCGGCCTGCGGCTCCAGATAATGTGAACGAGGGGCTCTCGTGAAGATGACGTTACCTTGTCGGACTCTCCGATATCGTTGAGCTCGGGTTGAGCTCTTCTCGACTTCTCCCAGTCCACAGCCGAAGACGGTGTGAGGTGGAGGGTGGTGAGGAGAGCAGTTGGAAGACGGTGGGCAGACTCTTATAGACAGAGGAGCTACGGCGCGCAAGGCTGCCGCCTCCGGGCTTGGCCTTCTCCTGTCGTTCCATTGGCTGTCGCGTCTGTTTGCATTCACCTGCGCACAGACCACGCGACTGGCTAGATCCCACCAAGGGATATTCGCCAGCCTCTGAGTCCATTCCTCAACGCGAGCAGTTCTATTGTCAAATCTTTGCGACGATGGCGCCGCGAAAGTCTTCCGCAGATCCCGGAGATGGCGCGACCAAAGG